CCCCCCCACTCCCAGCCCCTTCCCCCACATCCCCAAGCCCCTGCCCTGAAGGGCTGAGCCAGGAGCCCCGGGGGCCAGCCCGCCAGCCTGCTACGCAACAGAGAGCGAGCCCCTTTCGCCTCAACGGGCAGGTTCATGTTTAGCTGTGATTGTCGCTTTCGGGCCCTGGCCAGCAAGCCGGTTACCGCGTCCCCCTGCTGCAGCCAGCCACGAGCTGCCCCCTCGCGTCCCGCTCCGAACTCAGGGGCTGCTGGGAAGAAAGCTGGCTCCCCCCCCACCCCCACGCGAGCTCTGCCTCGGCCAGAGGAAAGGGAATCTCTACGGAAGGCCAAGCGCCGGGCCTGCTTCCTGGCCTGCCGGCTCCTCACCGGAACAGGCCACGGTGACCAATTCCTGGACCTGGGATGCCCTCCAACCGGCACACGCCAGGCTGGTCCAAGGGGGAGGGGAAAAATTGTTTTCCTTGGCCTCTGAGGACAGGACAAGCAGCAATGGGCTTAAACTGCAGCAAGGGAGGTTTAGGTTGGACATTAGGAAAAACTTCCTGCCTGTCAGGGTGGCTAAACACCGGAATAAATTGCCTAGGGGGGTTGTGGAATCCCCATCCCTGGAGATATGTAAGAGCAGGCTGGCCAGACACCTGCCAGGGATGGTCTAGACGGTGCTGGGTCCTGCCATCAGGACAGGGGACTGGACTTGATGACTCTCGAGGTCCCTGCCAGTCCTAATGTCCTGTGATTCTATAAGGACACAGAAATGAAGAGAGATTAAAAAGACTGGGACGTTTCAGCTTAGAAAAGAGGAGACTAAGGGGAGGGGCTGACCCAGTCTGGCCGTTCTTAAGTTTTTAAAAGGAGTGGGCAGGAAGATATGAACAGGGGCAAGGAGAGGAAAGGTGAAGAAGAAAGATTCAGAGGAGGATCTTCCCTGATCTCCGAGGCCCCCGACAGCTCCCCGGCGTTCGCTCCGACACCGCTCCCCCCGTCGCAAGGGGAAATTGCTTCCTTTCACTCCTGGCTTCGTGGACTTTTCTTGTGGCCTGATTAGCTTGAACTCCCGTGTCTGTTATTCTAGCCCGAGACCCGCATCCGTCACCTGTTTTGTGGTTGGGCTGGAGAGTCCACCTGTGCGGTCACCAGCGTGTGAGGGTCACCTCCGGAAACCACAGGGGCGAAAGTGTCACTTGGGGAGGAGGAAACAGTAACCCCCAGCCATGGAGGGGCAGAGACAACTTTGCCTGCAAAGAACGTCTTTCAGAGAGCCGGCCAAGCAGGGGTACGGCCCCGGGAGTCCACTAAATAGGCCACCAGTGGGTGGATCCGAGAGCGTAGTGTAGACGGAGCTGGCACTTAGATAAGTCACAGTCAGGCAGACCTAGGATGCTCTTTTCAGCTGCTTGACGCTCTGCCAAGCGGTGACTGCTCCTGTCGATTTGGTCTCCCTGGATGTTTGGTTCCTAGGGCGTTCTGTCCAGCTTCCAAAGCTGTGAGCACCGCGTCTCTGTTTACTGCAAAACACGCCGTCCCTTGCAAGCCCTATGGAAACGACAGGCTCGTAGAACAACCACCACCAAAAAACAGAGAACTTGAGTTTCAAGGCGAGTTGCTGGGCCAGCTGTTTTCACTGCTATTTCTTGCCGGGCAGGGTATTTTTGGTGCCTCTCTTGAAAACGCAAGTTGAACCCTACCACTTCCCCCCGCAGATCTATTTTTAAAGATTTGCTAAAAGCCGTCTCCTGAATAGGGCCATTCCGGTTTTCTGAGCTGGAACTGCCTTTAAAAACCCACGGAGGTCCCTCTGCTGCCGTGCACCCCATCTCTGCCCCTCCCTACGCCTCTCGCGCACTGGGCTGCCGCAGCCTGATAGCGCTCGGACCCCGCTGCTCCTGTTATGCTGGTAAGAAGCACACGGGATCGGTATACAGGGTGTTCCCGCGATACGTCGCCCCGGCATGCGTTGGTTCCATGCTAATGGCGTTGATGCTCGTAGGAACGGCTGCGTTCTAAGTCCCCCCATTCCCTGCTCTTAAGTCGCGCACCCCCCCTTTGCGCAAGTGGGAGTCAGCTGCACTTTTCAGTTGTTTCACTCTCAGTCCCAGTGTTTTGGAACGTACCTCGGACTGACAGCGGGAGTCATCAATTCCCCGCCGTTATGTAGAATACCATAGGAACGCAGCTCGCTTGTGCTTACGTAGACACACACACCCACAAACCCACGGCAGAGTGGTCCCTCGTGAGAACAGTTTTCCTGCGTTGGAATCCGGGAATTTCACACCATCCTGCTTCACGCGACACCGGTTGGCGAGGGCTTGTCTCCGCACCTTGTTCCTCTCTTGTCCCAACGGATGGGCGTCCGCTTGTCTTTTGGAGCCGCCCATCGACCCGTCAGCCATGTCGCGAGGGGGGTGGGCAGGAATCTCGCGCTGCCTTTACGTCCGTCCCCAGTTGCTCCCTAGCACAGCTGGCCCGGCGCTGGCCACCCCCTCTCTCAACACACCCAGCGCAGGGCTGCTTTCTTTGGTACAGGACATCACGGTGCGCTCTCAAGGGGAACAACATTCCCACCTTGTACTTAGCCCACGGCGCTTGCCACCAGCCGAAAGCAGAGTGGTGGCCCTGCGGGTCTGTTTCTGCCTTGGCAGCAGGGGCAGCTCCCGGGGA